TAAGTTCGACAGAAAGCTTACACTTGGACCCCTAGACTTGTTCACAAAGCCAATATCAGATAGAAGATCCAGAAACTGCATTCTCATGTCATCCATCATCTGCAAGGTTACTGGAGATAAAAAGTTATCCCAACAGAACGATCTGTCACCTCCATTTCTTTTTGCATCCTTCCATCCTTCAAAGGCTTTAAGAAGAGCAACATGGTCACTGCGATTGGTAGTTTATAATTAAAAACTTAGCAATAGAAACAAAAGAATCTGACATAAAAATAACAATAGAAAAGTTGAAGATCCTCCACAGTGGTAGAAAGTTTATAGAAGAAGTTCTTTTTAATCACAGCCAGACATTAACCTGCAAGAATCACCGGCAAATGATTTCTTTGCATCATTTGCTTCCTCTTTCCTATTTATGGGCAAGATAAATGGATCACGGTGAGCCAGAGCAGCAGCAATGGTCAAGGCGGGATTGAGGCATTGAAATATAGAACCCATGAGAAGCATTTTCCCTATATTTGGGTCCAGAGGTAGAGTGCAAAGATGACGGCCTGCATTATGGATCGGAAGAATATTGATCACAATTCAATATTTAAAAAGAAGAAAGAGAAAATTCATCATTATATACCCAGTGGTGTAAGCTCCTCCATATCATCTAAAGCACCAATTGTTTTGAGAAGTTCAATGGCATTCTGGACTGCAAGAGGATCTGGTGGTTGTAATGCCTGTGCCAAAAATGATCCAACAGTACCTAGCTGCAAACTTTTGATATGCAGACAAAGCTCTTGTAAAGGAGTTCTCAGAATTTCAGGCAACTGATACTGAAGCATTGCATCATGGATAATTTTTGGATAGAGTCTATAACAAACACCAGGTTGCACACGACCAGCACGACCTCGCCTCTGAAATTTTTGCAATCAACTCATGTGAAAAGAAATTTGTAAACCAAACAATGTAATCGCATTAAATTTGGAAGTCACAAATTTGTATTTGTAGTACTCTTCTTTTATTTGTTACTTAAAAGTAAGGATATACTTGTAAGAGAGGTTTTCTTTAACAAGGTATTTGCCACTCTTTTGGGGTGCTTCTTCTTTTCCTTTTAAGCTTGCTCTCTTTGGCTACCTTGTTATTTTTATTTTTTTTTTTTTAACAAGATACGAACTTTTCATTGATTAATGAAAAAGATCAAAATTGTTCAAAGATACAAACTCCGAATGGAGTGAAAAAAATAAAAAACAATAACAGTAGAGACGACAAAAGTTAAAAGACACCACTAGGGGAAGATATAAAAACCCCCCAATTCATACGTAACATACTAGGGGAGTAAGAGGAGAATATGTCGGAAAGAGAACACCATTGAGAAGCTTTGAACTTTGCAATTGAGAAACAATCTAGAGATGAGCGACTTTTGCCTTCCAAGGTTCTCTGATTTCTCTCGAACCACAATTCCGAGATGAGAGCTTTAAAACCCTTCATCCAAAGGAGATTGGCTTTTGAATTGATTCTGAATTGATTTGCAAACCATAAAGGATCTGAAGAATATTATGGGAAACATCCAAGTCCCAAACGCACGAAATGTTAAACAATGAGAAGAAAGACCACCAACACTCTGCCGCATAGGAGCTAAGWAAAGAAAACATGCCCTTGTGTCTCCCCATACGCTTTGGCWACCTTGTTATTGGCAGGCATTCTTTCTACTTTCCTTATTTTGAAGGAACTTTGCTTTCTGTCCCCAAAGATAAGCTTTGCAAATTTCTATTTATCATTACAAGAAAGTGAATACCTGGCGTGCTGAAATAACAGAACTTGTTAAGTTCTTCATGGTTCTATGGGAGCATTGAGAGAAATAACAAAACTTTTAGGGAGATTGAGAGATCTTGAGAAGAAGTGTGGAATATTATTCATTTTAACACCTCTTAATGGGCTTCTATTTCTAAGGATTTTTATAATTATCAATTAGGTGTAATTTTTTTGGATTTGAGGCCCTTCCTTTAGGTACAGGCTCTTTTGGTTGGGCTTTCTTTTTTTGTGTATGTGTGTGCGTCTCCATGAAAGCTCAATCTCCTATAAAAATTATTAAAAATAAATAAAATAAAACAAACCTGATGTGCTGAAGCCTTGGAAACCCATGATGGTAACAGACAAGCAAGCTTGTTCAGAGCATCATAACTTGTTTCCTTTGCTTTTCCACAATCTATGACATAGACAACATCATCTATGGTGATACTACTCTCAGCAATATTAGTTGCCAGCACAATTTTTCTACAATAATAGACAAATGTAGATTAGAAGTTGAGGGAAATGTAGCAGCAAATGAAAGATTAATTCTTACGAATGTATTAGAGAGAGAGGGGGGAAGGAACCTATAAATTTCACAAGCAAAGGGTCAAACTTACCTTTTGGTGGGGGGAGGACTATCAAATATTTCACGCTGATTAATGGTTGGCATGGAACCATGTACTGGAAGAACTAAGAACTTTCCAGGATCTCCAAGATAATTGTTTGCTTTAACTTTCTCAAGCAGTTTAGAAATGTCATCCCAACCAGTAAGGAATACAAGAATAGCACCATGACCCTCATGGCGACAAATATACTCAATAGTTGACTCCACCTGCAGATAAACAGTATACCTGGTTAGATGCAAATAAAATAAACACTTAGAAGTACCATGACCTTTTATAAATTAATTAATTGTACAAAGTTAGATTGAATTTCTTAATATTCGTTTAGAAAATCACTTCACACTAAATATAAAATTCATTATTTATAGTAGGGCTTCAAAACCATAAGAAAATGGGCCTAAATTTTAAGTATTAAATGTCCAAATTGATGAAAAAGCTCAACAGAGAATCCAAAATGGTTCGAGAAGCCCATCCCAACCCTCTCCTTATGCAGTTAGCCAACGTAAGTTTTACAAAATATCCCAAATGGCAAATACTTCATCAAAAAAAAAAAAAAACTCAAATATTTTATCCTTCATTTATCCCTTTTGTTTTGTATTTTGAACTTTTTCCACAGCTGAAAGAAGATTTCAGTGGGAGAAAAAAGAAAATTMTATTTCGGCCACCATTAAGTCAGGTTGTTCCCTACTAATATTGGAAAGTTAACATTTTTATGGTAGAAATAAAGTGAATTATACTTCAATTTCAATTTTCATCTCACGATTCTCATTAATGAAATTGCTTTTTTAAGTAAAAGGTAAAATAAATCAATTTAATTTTTTTAAAATAAATACTGATTCATCCTCTGTGGCTCGATATACCATTCAAGGACATACCAGAGTCAAATCAAGTTGTGCTCCAGACCAGGCTTCAAGTGATTTTCTCGTAGATGTACTATAATTTTTGTACTCAGTATCAATATCAACATCCTACAAAACAATAATACTGCAGTAAGTATTACTAGAAATCATAAATTGATTACACGTAACTCTAATCCGGAGTCCGGACATAATGTGACAATCTGACAACAGACGTAGGGATGAATAATGCCTCAAATAATTCTGATAATGGATCCTTCTTAGATTCCTGCTGTCTCCTTCTTCTCCTTGAATTTCCTTCAAAATTTTCAGACTCTGACTTGATATTATAACGAGTTTTCTCCAGCACATCCTCAAGAAAGAACTCTGTCACAGGAAATGTTTTTCCCTGATATTTCATAATAACAATTCACATTATAATTATTACATACTAAAAATGCGTACAGGGAAATTAAGATGTTGCACATACTGGTATGTGTAGGGTTGGGGCATTCGCAAAGTATTTGGAGAACAAGTCTGCATTGATGGTGGCACTCATTAAAATAAGACGTAAATCTGGCCGCTGAGTAAGAAGGTTCCGCAGAATTATTAATAAAAAGTCCTCATTCATGCCTCTTTCATGTATTTCATCCACAAGCAAATGGCTAACACCAGTCAATTGTGGGTCCTGAACCTGAATTCAAGACAAGGAGCCCCTGAGTTATGTACTAATCACAGCGGAGCAGAATAAAAAACCATGACCTTACCAAGGTAAAACAAGCACAAGATTCAGACAAGCATTAAAACATAATAGCAGAAATTTTGAGCCTATGAAGGGGCTGTGAAAGTTGAGGATGTGTTCAGATGGAACATTTAATTTCCACCAACATAAACAGCCAAGTGTTAGTTTGCAATTGCAGACTCAGTTAACACTGCAAGTTACAATTCATAAGGCATTGACCTGAGATTCATTTTTAACAAGCTAGTTTTACCAAACACCCTTCTAGTCCAATTAAAAAAAAAATGCATGGCATAGATGAGATTATTGGGAAAAAGGACATACATGGGTTACAAAAAAACATATCGGAAACACATGAAAAGCTTATATACCAACTGCCGGAGTAGAACTCCAGTAGTGCAAAATAGTAGTCGTGTCTGGGCTGATTGTTTCGCTTCCAGTCGTATCTGATATCCAACTGTTTCACCAAGATTTTCTCCCCTTTCAGCGGATATACGAGCAGCAACTGAAATAGCAGATATACGCCGAGGTTGGGTGCATATTATCCTACAGTCAGCACCACGAAGTTTTGATATCTCCTCTTCTAAAATAAATTGAGGGAGCTGTGTGGTTTTACCACAACCTGTCTCTCCTGAAACAACCAATACCTGACATTCAAGACAAAAATTGTGGATAGTATTAACTAGAGAAATAAAGCCATGAATGTCCCTCGAGTCAAACGTTCAAGGAAATTGACACTTCATTGAAATAAACACTTCTTAGAAAATAGAGACTCAGTCAATCAATAAATTAAACTGACAGGAAAAGAGGGAGAATACTAAAAGAAAACTACGAAGGTTGATAGCCTTCTGAGAGGGCTAGCTATCTCTCTCCAATAGTTCTATACCCAAATCTTCCTTCCCTCTCCAACAGTCCAACTATCAAACATGCTAAATACTAGTTAAGAGAGTTCCAAGCTTGTTAATGGCATCCACACTCTTTCTCAGGTAGTCTAAACCTAAATCTTCCCCGTCGGTCATGTTAAACCACCAATGAACCATATAATAAATAGTTAAAATAATACTATATAGTAGTCCAAACCTAAACATTCACCATTGATCAATGTTAAACAACCAATGAACTAAATAGTACATGTTCAGCATAGAAAAGTCTGCCACATGAAGCTTTGTTTCTTCCATTTATCCTTTTTGGTAAATCGGGTGGAAGAGAATAGAAATTGTTCAAATTCCAATATGAATGTTAGATTTCAAAGTGATTGCATTTGCACCTGGTTTTCTGTCATTGCTTTTAAAAATTCAGACTTYACTTTGAAGGCAGGAAGCTTTTCTCTAAATGCCAGCATTGCTTTCAAGCCATCACTTCCCTGCAATGCATAATAGGTAACACGATATTTACATGTATAGAGAGAGAGAATATCATTGCAAAAGAATAGCAAATTTACTTTCATCTGTTCTTGTTTCTGCTGAAGTTCAGCACTAAATTTATCCTTTGCAGTATCAGTCCCCAACTTGTAGGCAGGTTTTGTGCTATTTACAGAAGTTGGTAACTGTTTGCTTGCTCCAACTGATGCAGTGGAAGAAACATTATGGTCTCTTCCCTGACCATGTGAGTTATCCAAAAGATTTCCAACTCTCCTCTCCATTTCTGTAGTCATACGAATCTGCAGATAAATTAAACATGTTATACTCTTTCTAAACAGATTGGGTAACCAAAGAAGTCATTACAACTCATTTAAAAAACAAAAAATGAACCTCCTTCTGCGTGGACCCATGGCGTTCATCAAGATCAGCCCGGTAATCTGGCAACGGAACTTTACTAACCACAAGGGTCTTCCCCGTATTATATGCATGGCTTTCTTTCCACAAGCACAAAATCAGTCAAATAAAGTGAGATCCCATCCTAGGTAKCATATATATATTACTTTGTACCCTACAAAGTACAAAAACTGGCATGCTGGCAACACATAAAATGATTCTAACGCTTCAGAAGAAAAACAAGCCCGAGCTTGTTCTTGTGCTTCTAGTAATAAGTATAATATTTGTTATTTGTTAAATATGGCAGTAGAAACATACAAGTAAAGACCCTGCTGATGAGCCATATCAGAAAGGATTTCTTGGTCACTTCGACTGAAATTACGCTTAATTATCATCTCTTGTTCCCCTCCTCTTTTCATCTGGTCCATCTTAGTCCACCATTCATTTTCATTAAGAACCTCCATCTGCAAATATGAATTGTTTTCAAGGGAAAAATATATTATGATTCAGGATTATACAACAAAAGATTGGGCGTCAAAACAATAATATAATATTTCAAACATTGTTCAATCCAAACAATTAAAATATTAGACGTTAAATAAGGTATTGTTGTGTATGATAAATTATATCCTTTGACTCCTTTCCCATTCTAAGATCCTCCCCTAGTCCCTTCTCATTCTCATCCTCTTAAAATAAGTATGCTCAAGACATCAACCACCGCAACCAAAAAATAAATGGATAAGGGTCCCTTCTCTAGTAATAACAACATTAAGGATGACGACTTAAAAAATTATCCTTGTTTCACATGACTTGAAATTTTATTTGCATTGTTTATGCGTGTAATGGACTTAAACCTAAGGATTTCTAGACACCAGGAAGAATTAGAAGTGCAGAAGTACATAATGGAAAAGACATGGTACAATAGAGTTCTATGGAGTAACAAGAGTTTTTTATATCGCAAGTATCTACCCCACTTACATGCATGGCATAACTCGCTTAATCGCACGAGACAATCGTCTAAACCTACAATATTTGATTGTTACAAAACTTGTAGGATTTAGATATTTTAGGTGGGTGACTACCATGAAGTTTAAAGGTAGGTATGTTCTTTTTTTCAACAATGAAACAAACTTTCCATTGATATATTAAAATTTAAAAGGAAGAAAATGTTCAAGGATAAATCACATAGAGAGCGAAAAGAGAAACAAACCAAAGAGAACAAAAAACCAAAAAATTACAAGAAAATAAGCCAATAAAGAACAAAGCTTTGAGAATCATAAACCAACTATACAGCTAGGGGGAAACCAAAAAACTACAAAGCCGAATCTTGAAACACCATAGGACTCCAAGACCCACTTGGGAGTAATCTTTAAGTCACCGAATCCACTTCTTGATATGACAAAGATATATATGGATCTTTCTTCTCGAAAGCCGACTAACTCTTATTTAGAAAGGTGATATAGCCATCCAAATAGGAAGTAGACACGCCAGAAATTATCTTGATAGATGAAACAATTTTGTCCTTCAAAACGTCCAAAGGAGAATCCATAGCCCGGAACGAAAACTGGGACGAAGACTAATTGAGAAGTTCTAGATGCCAGCTTGAAGGAGGGAGACCAAAACCTATTGAGTTATAAATAGCCAACGAAAACCTTCGGGCAACTAGAAACCTTTCCACTTCTCAAAAACTAAATGATTCCTAGGCTTTAACCATCCTTGAAAGACCAGCATAGCATTTCTTTCTTTTTTTTTTAACCCAAAGATCCGTTCAAATATTTGACACCGTCAGCCAAACCTAATGCAACAGTTAACCCAGTAAATTCAGATGAACAGCTATCTAATTCATCCTCCTTTCCCTCCCACGACCCACGAACAGATCATCACTATCGTCGGCCACCATCTAAAATTTTCGAGAAAACTAATAAAGATTAAAGAGTACCTCAGCAGCCTTTTGTCTCAGACGCTCGGCCCGCCAGACTGGGTCCCACCAACGTTGCTCGCCTCTACCACCGCCGCCTCTGCCACCGCCACCGCCTCCGCCTCCGCCACGTCGGGCGCCACCGCGTCCTCCTCCCGAAGAGCCGCCTCGACGGCCGCCTTGATAGTTGGGCCGATGAGACATTGCGAACGTTGAAATGAATGGCCGAAGTACAGAGAGTCGAGGCGCGAGAAATGGGTCCTTGCTAAGTAGAGAGTGGCTAGAAGCGGCGAAGATTCGGAGGGACATCAATTTATAAATCGAGTAAAATCGCACTGCGGCGATCGTTGTACGTGGCGCTGCCAGCGGTTGGCGGTTCGAAACATCGCCCTTCTACTTCATAAATAAGTGAACTCGATTATTTTTTATTCCTTTTAGTTTATAAATTCTCAAAATATTCTAGCAGTTGTTATACTTTTAGATTCGAGAGAGAATAATCTTGATAGTAATTGGCATATCTCTTCAATTAAAATTCTGTGAGTTCGAATCTATTCTCTGTATTTAAAAAAAGTTCTTGTACTTCAAAAAAAAAATTTACCAACTTAAATATAACTATTTAGGATGGTACTTATCTCCGACAAAAAAATCGTAGATTCGAATCATAAAATTTTGTAAGTGTAAACTAAAATAATCACCTTTAAACGAACGTTATCAAAACATGTATGCTAAAGGTACGTAAGATAAATTAAAAATAACAGTGGAAGGAAATAAATATTTTGAACGTACATTAACGAAATCTGAAAAAGGTATATATACTAAATTAGTATTTAGGATTTATATACTTATAACTAGTGGCAATATTAAGTGTGACGTGGAATTCCAACTTTTGTATACTTTCATTTGTTTAATGTTATAAATCAAAGAGGATATATCAATTTTACARTCATCATAAGAAGATGCACATTCATAATTCTTTTTTTATAATACCAAAGCGAGCATAGTTCMGTGGTAATTACTATATACCTCCAATTTGTGAGTTCGAATCCCCTCCCCAACACGTGTTGAATTTAAACAAAAAAATTACATTTTTGTCATTGGATCATTACTTAAAATTGAATGTCCATCACTCATTTAAACGACATGATGTTATAAATATATCACGATACAAATGATCAACTAGACAAAATAAGGTCAAACTGAGCGTCAAATTGAACATAGCTCAAATGGTCAAGACACTTATCACAWYTTTTCATCAACGGTAGATAGGTAAATTATATTTTCATTGTTAATATTACTACATTTTTTAATTAATCCAATATTGTATTTGCARTAATTAAGTCAACTGTGAATATCAACTAAAATGGTAGCAAACGAAAACCATAAATAAAAAGTGGTGAGTCATCTGCAACCCAAGTGTTGAGTCATCGAYCTCCAATCCGACAGTCACTCACATTTAGATTTGAGCCGTGAGTCTCCACACAACAATTTCCTATCATTGAGTCACTGTTTTATGCTTTTGTATTAATACGTACGGGGAGGTATCATTGGATTAAAATTATAAATTATAAATTTAATTTGAAATTTAAATGGTTGATAATTAAATTAATTTMTTTTAAGATTTTGTTTTTAAATAGGTTGTTATATTTTATTTAAAAACAAAAGTTTAAAAATATTTTTTTTTTATTGTTTCAAGATACTAGTTAAATTTAGTTTGAATTTTGCTTTTAAAAAATATTAAGAAAATATTTGGAGTGTCCTATAGGCTATAAGTAAAGAGATTTCATATGGGGCCAAAATGCAAATATACGACTTGTGGATTTGAAAAAAAAAATCAATAACGAAGAGACSACATGTTAACTGACACCTCATGCATCATCTCGAGGATCGAAGAGAGGTAAAATGCTGATAAATAGTTTGAAAAGTGATATATTTTTAGAATAAGTTTAATAATATAAGTAATATTAAAAAAAATAGAAGATAAATCCTCCATATTTGGGGAGGTAAAGTTATGTATTTGGTGATTAAGTTGTTCTGCAAACTCGACAATGTTYGTCGATTGTGAAGCGAGGTTATATTACTTAATTTATTTGATATTGTATGGTTGTATGAATTAATTGACATTGATATGAGTGTTCCATCATCACGCATTATTTTCACGTATGTATAGGTTTGGTCTGTTGTATAGTTTTTTTAAAAAAAATTCAAAATATAGACCAATCTCTTGAAAAAAGAAACAAGTTAAAAAAAAAACTTATTTTATTTTTTAAAATTGGCTTAGTTCTTCGTAAAAAACCTTACCAAAATTGGAAAAGGAAAAAAAACAAACCATTGTTTTTAAAATATAAAATAAATAAATAATTGTTCTCAAACAAGCATTAGTTATTTAAAACAATTTTGGTTCCACTATTTTATTAAGATCGAACATATCAAATTTTTCACCGTGTATTTCGTCAACTAAAAAAATAAAATAGATACTATACATACTATAAAAGATGAGCATGTTGACAGAGACACTTTAAATTGTATATTATAATGATAAACATGGAGCATATAGTAAATTCAAAACTTTATAAACTTTATAAACTTTATAACCTTTAAATTTCCAAATTGTAAGTTTTAAAACAGTGAAATTAATATAATGTAAACCTATTTAGCTACAATTTAAATGACATTCATGATATATTCATGTTTTTTAAGTCCGACAATTACAAGGTAAATTATCGAGATAGAAAAACCAAKATCTATTATATATTCGAGTTATAMTAAGAYTARCACATTTCGAACATATTCAATTAGATAAAACATTATTAACCTATTTTGAAGTTAAAAATTCCAATTATGTCATCCACTTTSGTCGTACTATATAAAATTTAAGAGTTACAAAATCCACAAAATAATGATACAKAATTATATATGTTGATGTTAAATTATGAACAAATCGAGATATGCATTRAGCTTCTCCTAATCGAACTACACATAACGAGTCGTGCAATAAAAACGTGGAAGCAATGAACAAATACTCTGACGTTCAAGTCAATCTAAATTGACTTGATCTATATAAGTCGATTCAAAACATAATTACATACATGCATATGTGAGTAGTTGCGTATTTACACYAGTCGGAGGATATACTATTATATCGCAACCTTGATAGAGCTTATCACGCAASTGTAACTAATTTCATCTTATAGTTTAGTTTTCACGTTTGGAGAAGCATTATGAAGAGCCACGAGCAATATAGTACTTTATAAATTAAAAAATTTGTCAAATATGGAGCTATTGAGCACAGTACTATAAGGCAGACCGTGTACAAGTATGAATAAGGTAATATCATTTATTTCTATTGATCCACGTAACAAGTCATAATTTACCGTCCAATACTGTTTAGTATAAAAGAATGAAGGGTAAATTGCACAAACCACCCTCGAACTATATTAGTTGTAACAATTTTACCCTTAAACTTTCATTTGTAAAAATCTAACCTTGACCCTTAAACTTKTAAGGGCAAAAATTAAACTTTTAAACTTACAAATTGTACTAATAAACTTCAAATTCTAAAAATTACACCCTCAAGATACATCCATTCAACCCAGCAAACAAAATCTGGAAGAAGATGAAGGAAAATTAATACTTTCTTATGAGAAATAAATAAATAAGAAGCTAAAAGCAACMATTCACATTGAAYTGCTTCAACGAGTGGTCAAATTGGAAAATTTTCGTTCCAARCCACATGTCCCCGTCATCTTCCCCAATCAYCAGGTGTGGGCAACCTTATCCTTCTCTTTTTTTATAAGGAAAATTAATTAATTACTCTAATAAATGTTTGTTCGATTTCTAATGATATTTTTGACTCGTGAGGCGCCTTGTCGACGACCAAACATGCTGCAGAATYTGCAATCGACAAACTTTGGAGCTCGACGGTGACAAGAGCGAGATAACGCCATATGAGGGGCGGTAGTGGATCAAGTTTAATTTGAGGGTGAATTTTAAAATAGATTCAATATATTTTTTTAATTTGAGAGTTTAATTTTTACCATTAAAAGATTGATCAATTTTTTCTTTTTCAAAATTGTAAGGGTTTAATTTTTACTCTTAAACGTTTATGGGTTTAATTTTTTCATTTTWAAAAGTTTAAGGACTTAATTTTTACCATGGAAAGTTTATAGGTAAAATTGTAACAACTACCATACTCTAAGGTGGCTTTTTGCGATTTGTCCAAGAATGATAAAATTTGAATATATTTTTCTAAAAAAAAAGGTGCAGTTTATAAAATAAAGAAAAAAGAAAAAAGGGATTTGGAGTGCAGCGTGTGAACGACTAAGGCAAATGGCCCATTAGACCCAGAAACGATCAAAGCTCGTCGGTAGCTTGCTGCCTCAGTAGTCCATCCCAAGAACCGGCCGGAATTATCATCCGTCGCATTTCAACCACCGCAGCCCGCTCCAATTCTCCATTGCCGCCGGTGAAATCTTATGGTCTAATAGCAAACAAGTAGCAAGTGACCCATCAGGCGAGTCGCGCTGATCCGGCAAGCCGATTTGCTTCCGCCATTAAAGCCGGCGCTGGTCACTGGCGGCAGCTGTTCGGACAGCTGAAGAAAAGAGAGACATGGATCCGGCAAATACACCACTGGGCAGGATGCTGCTGGAGGAGATCACTCCGGTTATCATGGTGCTGAATACCCCTCTTGTTGAAGAAGCCTGCCTGAAGAACGGCCTCTCATTAATCCAGATGCTCAGCCCCTTCTGCTCGTTCAACAACATTGACGGTAATCCCTCATTGTCTCCCTTCTACTGCTTCAATTTAGTGCATACCCTTTGCACTTAGTTGTATGAATGTTCGACTGTTTCATTTCTGGGTGGGCTTCTCTTCGTTTCAGTGCCCGTACGCACCGCAAGTGATCAACCTTACAGGATTAAGAAATTCAGTTCACGGTTGTTTTACGGTTCAGACATTCGTCAACCTAATTTAGAGGTAAATTTTAAATGAGACGTTTGGTTTATGATAAAGTTTGTTGGACAACGATACATTGTGTGTTTGCAGTTTGGATAGTTAACAGAAAAGAATTCAGTTAAATTGACAGTGATTGAACGAAAGCGAACTAATAGCTTAGTTGGAAGCTTACGTAAAAACCAACTAGCCAAGTTTAATCACTTCAACATACTAGGGTACTGAAATGGAAGGTTCCTTATTGCGTGTGATATGAATGTATATGAACTGGTTCATTTAATTATGAAATCGGCCTATGGCTAATCATGGTTGAATTATTAATTTAGGGCTTGTTTGATAATGTTCATGTTTCTTGTTTATCGTTTTCAATTTTATTAAGAAATCTTAGCATTTGACAACTGTTTATGTTTTCCGTTTCTCAATTTTTAGAAACATTATCAAAATTGTATAGCACTATTGGAAACAACAAAAACAAGTTTCTGTTTCTTGTTCCTGTTTCCGATTTGCTCYAACACGAATAGAAATCTTGTTTTATCATTATTGAATCTATGGGTGTCGGGGGCCCTGYAATTCTAATTTGAAATGGGAACGTTACCAAACAGGTCTAATCCATTTATTGTGGAGGATTTCAGATAATTGGAATGGATTAGGATGAGATTATTTTTAATGTGCACGTATGACCATTATTTGATCATTTGTGTACTTAGAAGAACACAGCGGTAGAACCTTTGGAAGTACAAACAAGAATACTAGAAAGAAAATCTCATACAAATGGAATTGTGATAGGATCRTGAAGGGAGGAACTGGAATTGTGATAGGATCATGAAGGGAGGAACTATATTTTAGTAGGTAAATGAATGCCTTATATGGGGAAGAATCATCATATTGGCATGTCTTTAAAAATAGATTATTATGAGCCATACTTAGTGTTCGGGTATTTGCTTTTAAAAAAAAAACTTGTCTAAACCTACCCATGTGCGGTAGAGGTCAAGTCATTGAAGAAATGGAGACTTGGAGAGAAGACTAGGAAAAAAACTAAGCTTGGTTCTTTCGTTATTAAGGTCCCTTAAGCATAATATATTACCGGGGAATTAAAGATAACTTTGGTCACATATGGAATAGGAAAACTAAATTTTTGAAAGACTTATTTGGCATTGATATCTAGGAAGATAGTTCTCTTTCCWTGAAATGAAAACCTGRAAAGCTCAACTTATTTTTTATTATTTATTTTTTGATAAGAAACAATTTCATTGATGTATGAAATTACAAAAAGAAGGGGAGATAAAGAAAACCCCAGAAACCAAAGGAGTTGCATGAACTTATAGATTGCCTTATTTGACTTAGTCTTTATTAAAGAGAACAAAATTTKGTTTTAGAAATATAAGTTGAATTTTTTGGTGGATGGAGATGAAAATTCTTCCTCTTTCCACAAACTTGTCTCCACTTTGTACATGTTGGCTATTGGGAAGGAATATCTATCTTTCTTAGAACATCTTAAAAAAAAAAAGTTTTCTAAGGCGGATTCCCATTTCCTATGCATGTTAATTGGAAACCAATCCCCAACATGCTTATAGGAGCCTTRTACAATCTTTTTGTGTGGGGAGAAGGAGGTTAAAGAGGCCGTGGGCCTTTTGAGTTGAAATAGATTAATGGATGGTTTCASTTTCACTATTAGCTTCTTTAAAAAGGGTTGAAAAATTTATAGTAAGGACTTCAAGGAGATTTCCAAGACTGCTTTAGGAAAGACATCATAGATTCTAATGTCAATGGAACTGAATTAACCTTATACTTACGAAATCTAGTACTTGTTGTATTTGAATTGTCACTTTATTAGCCTTTCATCCGATATGCAAGTAATTGGTAAAGTCTTAGCCTTCAAACGGGTCTACCCCTCACTATCTAGCGCTGTTAGTTTGTTTTATCATTTATGAAAGTAAGATAGATTGTGGATCCCATTCTTATTACAAAAAGGGTTGTTGATGAAGGGAGGTGCAAAAGAAAGAAAATGGTGGCCATCAAGCTAAACTTAGAAAAATCATATGGATTGACATTTCTTAACGTGAAGGGCTTTCACTGTGGATGGAGGGGAGGGATCAAAGGTTGTCAATATGTTGGATTCTTTAATCATCAACAAGAAGCCTAAAGGCAAAAATCAAAGCAACTTGAAGCAGTAGATATGGATCCCCTGTAACCGTTTCTTTTTCGCCATGTGGATTGTCTTCCTATGATACTTAGATAAAGTTGGCTCAAAGTTGGACAATGAAGAAGCCTCTTCAATGTTGAAGTTTTCGTGATAGGTGTATTTTTTTTCCTCTTTTAAATAGCTTTTGCGTTTTTATTGGTGATCTGGATATAAAGGAACTTGAGATTTTCAATGAATGAGAAAGAGATCAGAATAAGATGTGGCCCATGGTAGTTGATTGCGTTCTTTCTTCTTCATGGTGTATAAAGTCTATGCCTTTAGTACATGTTCTACCATATTGGTTAATTGGAGAGCTTTTATGCCACTCCTTTGACTCTTTTAATTTAATCTAATTTTTTAATGTTTCATCCATCAATTAAATTTGTTTCTTAAAATATAATTGTACGATTAGTTACCCCACAAATCCAAAAAGGGGCATGTTGAACACTGTTTGTTTGTTTGGGTTTTTTTTGGACGAGAAACAATTTCATGTTGAACATTGTRATACTTGTTTATTAGTTTCTGCTTTATTTAGTAGTAACTAGTCATTATATTTGAGAATCAGGTCCTGGTTACAGAAAAAATGATGGAAACGTTGGGTATTTTTCCTAAGGTATAACTTGTAAGCATCCCATTCTTGTGTAATGAACACTTGCACATGCTATAGTTGCAAATGTGCATATAGAGTGGATAGTCATAAAAACATTTCAAGCATCACTCAGGACTTTCTGAAAAGGAAGCTTCTTAAAGTGCCAATATTTTACCATACTGTTTCAGTTTTCACTGGTATAATTAGGCCAATCAAAATGTTCATGAAGAAGAAAAGTGAGACTGCAGTAACATTTTCCAATATTTTCATTTTATCTCCATTATGTCAGGACTGGTTTTCATTTGCTTCTTCTACTATCTCCTTATATTCTACTTTCCTAATTATTCAACTAGGCATCAAAAGAGCGACTGAAACAGGTTATTACACAAGCCAGCGAGAAAGATCTTTCTAAATTATGTTCYGACCCTCCTCAAATTAATGATGTAGCTGCCTGTAAGTACTGTTCATCTCAAGATTCTTGGATATCATTATCTGTATGTTCAAGTAAGAACTTTGGCGTCCTTTTGTCTCTTATTTTTTAAAACAATATAGAAACAACTTTCATCAGTTGGTAAATATTTAGTTTWGTAACTTTCAAGTCTCCTGATTAAAGATATTTTATCTTTTGAGCCCTTTTCGTTTTTACTTCTTTAATTAGTATTATCTTGCTTCTGAAATTTAAAGTAGATTGTTAAAAGCAGATGTTGATTCAAAGAGGTCATGGGCAGATCAAGAATGTTTGTTTGAATCAATTAAATTTTTTTTAGTAAATAACTACTGATGCAGTTTCTGTTTAAATGATGCAGGTGTAGGATTGGTTTTAAACCTTATTAACCGATATTTTTGCCTCATCTGCAGGTTTTGAGTCTGCAATTCTACCTTCATGGTTTCAGTTGTTTAACAAAGAGCTTATACGTACTATATCCTTTTCGGAACATGAAGCTTTTGATCATCCTGTGGCATGTAAGATTATGTAAAATATGAACTGTGCTGCGTTCCTCTCATTTCAAGGACAAGGGTTCTTCAGTTTTTGTCCCCTATCATTCAAACTCTCCCCATTCGTTTTAATGTTTATTCCTTTAACCATACAAAAGATATGCTCCTCGTTAAAGCTCTCTTTGATATAATGTCTAGACATCTTTGTCAACCTTTGCATTTTGGTTCTATCTTTTTTTTTWAAAATTTATATTTTTTTAAGAAACATTTGAGGAAATCCATTATACAAAAGAGCAAACAACCTAAGGCCAAGGGAAAGAGAGATTCTCCTCCCAATCAAGACTAAATCACATGAAAGACGTCCAATCCTTGAGGATTGGATTTTGCTAAATCACATTTTGGTTCTATCACGTTTCTCAAAGTCGTGGATGATATTACTAGAAAATAATGTCAATGGAAGTCTGACATGTTTTCAGTTCTTCTATAATTTCCTGTATATGGATCCCTTTATCTTCCTTTCTCTCCTTATTTATTTCGTTCTACTGTCTTGTTGCAAGTTGTTTTTAGTCTCACTTAAATGGTGATTAATAGTGTTCACAGTAGTTTTGCAGGAAGTACAAAAARGCCCTGCGAAAACACATAGGCCCTTAACCTTAAGAGAAGTCAAAGATACAGAAAACTATTGCAATTATTGACAATCGAAAATAAAAGTGAGAGAGTGTGTGGGAGTTCTCAACGACGCTCTCTTCTCTCTTCGCCCTTGGGGTTTCATTTTGTTTCAAACTTGTTCATTAACAAGAAGCCAAGAGATGGACCATCAAAGAAGAGACTGCATCCTCTCTCATATTAGACTAGGTGAAAAGACCATGGGACAAGCCAGAGAGGGTAACTTTTTAAATCACTTTATTTGATCTTCTCACAATCTTAGTTGTTTCTCTAGGCCTCAAATGTTATTGGTTCATCCAATGGTATTGAAATCTCCTCCGATACGCTAATAACTCTACCAAGCTCTCAAGTTCCTTTTGAAGGTTTTTCTTTCTTGGTACATGCTAAGACCATAAACCCTTGCATATGTCAGCCAACTTAAAGTGTATTGGCATTGAGAAAGGCTCCAACCATAGATTCAATCACCACCAGGGAAGAATCATGCCATCTCAAGGTTACCAGGAAAAGACCATTGGAATCTAGGTTACTGGGAGAGGAGYATTGGAGTCTCCTTTAATTGTGCAAGGCAATGAGAAGATAACTGGGAGGTTGCTAAGTTTGTGCTTTTTGCACATGTGCTCCTTCAAGATCCTTTTTGTAACTCTCTCTCTCCAAAGCTTGTTGTTATGGCTTCTTTGGCTGAGGGCCATTCCTTATTTGTTCTTTTCATATTCTCACCGAAAATTGCGTGTATTTTTTGTTTTTTTAGATTGAATTAATTAAATTTTTATAGAAAACGTATACTCTTTTTAATCGTCATTGTCCATGCCCACTTGCAGGTCTTTTGGTTGTCTCCTCAAGCGAAGATCATCCTGTCAACAGATTTGTTGATCTCTTTGGCACAAATAAATTGCCCTCTCTTCTAAATGATGGTGCCACAGACCCTAAGATTTTGAAGCATTATTTGTTGTTGCATGATAATCAAGAAGGCTCTTCAGAGAAGTATTTTGTTATTTTCTTTAATCTGAYGAGGACCTTTTCCCTAATATACCCACAATAGTACATTTTCGTGATTTGTTATCACAACTAATAAATGTAGTGAAGGTTGAGCTAGTTCTATTATTTGCTTTTTATGTCAGTAGTTTGAGTAATTAACTTATAGGGACTTTTTGTTTGACGTTCTGATGAGTAGTTTGCTGTTTTTTTTAGAACAAGATATGAACTTCTCATTGAAATAATATAAAGGAAATACAATGTTCCAAGATACAAACTCCCGAGATGGAGTGAAAGGAAGCAATAAGAGAAGCAAAAGAAGAGTAGTTTGTTGTTGTTAATTATCTAGCTGCTTTGTTTGCCAGGACAGTTGCTACTTTGTTAATTAGTTAGGATAGTTTGTTTAGATTCGTAAGTGGAAGATTGCCAAGTCAACTCTTTCTTAGTAGATAAGGMTTTATTTAGATTCGAAAGTGGAAGACCCTTGTTCTCTGATTGGCTCAATGGTAAATGACGCAAGTTGGATAGATTTCACGTGAAGATGGAGAAGTGAGATCTTGAAAAACATGGCAGGAACGAAATGACAGTTTGTTTTGTTTTGGTGGCTGGGTGAAAATYTGCTACTTACCTTTAGAGCTTTGAAACACAAATTGCTTCAAGGCCATTGGAACCCATCTTGGAGGTTTGAAGAAATTCTCTTCAGCAACACTAAATCTGTTAGATTGTTCAGCAGCTTTCATTCAAATAGAGAAGAATGACTGTGGCTTTATTACGGCTTCTATCGAGATAACTACGAAACGTGGATTGTTTGTGGTAAACGTGGTTGCCATAAATGAAGCTACCAATCCKTCTTTTCCCTCTATTCAGCTTTCAAAGACTTCGTTGATTGCAGTTTCTTTAAATCCTTTGTATATCCAAAGATAGCAAGAAGTCTCGACAGACGAAGAGTTTCAATTTGACAATGTTTCTAATAAGGTTAGCTTGGAAAAGCAAATTGCAACTGTCCCCTCATCTACTCAAAACGCACCAATTGGCCCAAACAATGTGCCGAGTCAGTTGAGCACCCCTATGGTCAGAAAAGAAGTGGGCATTATTGGCCCTACTGTTTTTCAAGAGCTAAATGCAGAAGCTATTTTGAACCAAAAGTCAAAGGGCAACCCGTTTCCACCGGGTATGAAGAATACCGAACGATTAATTTAAACCCTTCCTTTTTACTACTCTTGTAGAAAGCCTAATACTAATTTTGGAAAGGAGCTTGCAAAGCCCTCGGTAGCTGAAGGGTTCAAGTTAACTTGAATAGGGTTTTCTTCGAGGAACGAGAAGTAGTTAGTAAAGATAGTACGGATAAGGTAAATGTTCTGTCCATTGGCATTATCCACTCCACTAACAAAGGTTTGCCTCTTAGATCATCTTCCTTAGAATTTTCAGATAATTTCACTCCTTTGGGATTTTGTATCTTTGAATATTTTTATTCCTTTTCATTTATCAATGAAAAGTTCGTATCTTGTTAAGAAAAAAATAGAATTCTCAAATAATGATCTTGAAGATGAGGATGRCGCAATCAGTATTAGTAGTTTAGACTCTTTTGCAAAGTCAGACATCCCAATTGAGGACTTTTCTAGCATTCCTTTGCGGACGATTTTCAATCTTTATTTAAYGAGCAAAAAGAAGATAAGAAACCCGTTCTCCCACAKCAAACAACCATTCCTTCCTTTTTTTGAAGAAATGGGGATTACTTTTGTCCCAATTGAGTATGTTCTCTGAGTTTTAAGTTGTTCGGAATGTTGGAATGTTCTCCATTATGCCTTCTGCAGATTTCAAAGCTTTGCAGTTTTAGTTCGGTTGGTTGGTTGATGAGGTATTCAAAGTTTTTCTCCAGGTTTGATATTTAGTGGTATATATTTGGAGGCTTTTTGAAGACAGCATTGAGGCTTAGTATTTGGTGTTTTCTTCTTATTAGCATTTTGGCTGTGGTTTGTTCTTGTGCCCTAACTTCTACTTGGTTCTTTTTGGAGTTTGGTCTTCGCTCTTGGTGCTAAGGAAGGTTTTTCTCTCATGCGGTTGTTGACCCTGGAATTAGTTTGGTTTCCCAAGCTCGGCGGCAAGCAGTTTTTCTGAGTTCTGTTTTAGAATGCTTTTATCTCTTTTGAGCCTGTATTGCTCTTGTTGCGATATTTATTCGACATTTTTCTATTCTTCTCTCTTTTCTTTTCTTTTTTCACCCCCTTGGGGTTTTGTATCTTGAACATTTTTTCTTTTCATATATTAATGAAAAGTTATTTCTTGGTAAAAAAAAAAGGTTAGGATAGTTTGTAGCTTATTAGTTGCTTGGTTGATTAATTGGCAGGTCATATATGCATATGGTGCTTGGTCTTTTGTAAGTGCCAACTCCTTGATATCGAATAGGATTCGAGTATTCTTAGATGCGAGTGATGCATCCCTTTGGCCTCAAATAATTTGTTTCTAGTAGGAAAGCCACTTTCATTTTCATTTTAAGTTTAAAAGAAATGAAAGTAAGAGAAATGAAGCCTTACAAAAACACGGGCTGAAGTTTAACTAACCAAAGGAACCACCAAAAAGAAACAAGACAAGTTACTAAGAGCTCCAAAAAGAAAAAAAAAGGAAAAAATGAAAAAATGAAAATCGCAAAAAAGCTTCTACGCTTGATTCCAAAGGGAGGCCACTCAGTATACCAAACTATAGACCTCCGTCCAAGAAGTCTCATTAATACTATTCTCTGTTTCTAATTCTAACCAAATATTCCATATAATAGCAAAGGACCCAGTCCATTAAAGAAGTCTCCTTTTATCACAGAAAGGAGGATGCAAAATAGTTTCCTCTATCATATCACTGCAATCTTGCAGAGGAGTGAAAACCACTTTGGAAACTTGCAAGAATTTAGGACTCATTTTCACACTCAACGAGCACCTTCAAAGAATGTGATCTAATTTCTTTGATGCCTGCTTACAAATAAAACACTACTACGACTATAGCAAAGTGAGGAAGAGCTGGGAGTACAATATGGGGTCTTAATTTTAATTCTTCCATAGGTGACCGACCAAAAGAAAAATTTACCCTTCTTTATAATTTTACCCTTCCAAGGCTTAGTAAAAGGAGAGGAAGGCATGAGATCCATCAGTCTGGATGATTTTCTAGTGATTTCCACAAAACCACCGCATTGATCTCCTATAAAGGAGACAACAACATCATTCCATAGGTGGAGGGGGRGGTCTTGGATGGTGATCCATCCTCCGTAGGAGGGGACTTTGCAGTTGGAGTTGATGGTCGTTGTACTCCATTGAAAGAAACGAAGTCTAAAGGAGTCAGTGGTCTATCAGCCACTATGTTTGTAGAGAGCGCCTGCTTGTTCAATATTTTCACATCTAAGAAGATTTTTGTTAGCATGTATGGGGCTTAAGGAGCAAAACTCCCTTGTCGATGCTTGTAGGGACCGTAGGATGGAGTGCCAATCGTCGTGAAAGGAATGATGCTGTACTATGATCCAACGGCTCCTAGCAAAGACCTCAGGGAATAAAGTCGATTTTAATGTCATGTCTTATGCAATGAAACTCTGTGATGGGTTTGGTGGTACTTCTTTAATGACTTYTAGCAAGGGCAAAAGGGTCAGTTTGGGGTGTGGTATAAATGCGAGGGGCCTCCTTAAAGGTCTTGTGTTGTACATGTTGTCCGTGTAGGTCCTACCTTTTCTTTTCAACTGGGTAATATACAATAAGACTGAAAGGCTTTCCAGCCTTCTTCTCTTCCGACCCCCGATGGAAGCACAAGTCTGTTCTTTCCCTCATTGCTATCTAGCTTGTTTATTTCAACCCAGTACCCTCTTTAGTTGCTGAGCTCTTCCAGCCAAAAAACAGTCTTCACATCGGTGTTCCTTGAATAACTTGTGTGYGAAGGGAGAATCAATCAATAGATGAAGAGACCTGAAATAGAAGGGAAATCTAACCTCTAGGGTTGAATCTCCCGACCATAAGTGGTGCCAAAAATGCGTTTACCGTTTCTTACTTTGAAAAAAGAATAGTTTGCAACCAAAGACCACTACTTATAAATACTAAACCAAGGACTACGACAAGTATCAAATTTTTTCTCGGTAATGTTCCAGCCAAAACGATCGGTGCCATAGATACTCGCCACTACTTATCGCCATAGAGTTGTAGACTCAACACTAAATTGCCAACCCCACTTAGCTAGCAAAACATGATTTCTTTGCAAAAGCCTGCCAATTCCCAAACCAGCTTATTATTGGTAAAGAGTAGTATCCTATCTAACCAAGTGCTTCAAAAAAACCCTTCTCACTATCTCCCCAAGAGAAGATTCTAAAAACTTTCTCAAGCCGTTTTACTGATGTGCACGGGCATTTGAAATAACGAGAGGAAGTACAAAAGGATGCTGTCAAGCACTGAGAGACAGTACATAGGGATGCTTCCAAGCACCGAGAGACATACCGTCAGCCTACCTCCTCGTTAGAACTGAGATTTCTTCCAACCATCAAGCTTCTTCAAAATTTTTATTTGATGGGATTCTAGACTTCAGCCATTTTTTGGAGTTTATTAGATTTAATACGTCCCTGTGTGGTCTGTTTCTAAGGTTTTTTGTAATTTTCTTTTGGAATAGGAAATGAGAATTTTCTTTGGGAGTTAGATGTTCTTTTTTGCCTCTTTCTCTAGGTGGGCCTCCTTTTGTCGGGCCGTTTTTTTTACGTGCTCTTATATATTTTTTCATTTCTCCCAATGATAGCTCGGTTTCTCATAAAAAAATCTATTACAATTAGAGCTCCTCTTTTAGAATGTTTCTATGTCGAAGGACATTTTGTCACTTACCTAGATACTAAAATCCTTTCGAGTTTTTTGACAAATAAATGTCGTAGGGTCAGATAATGTTTTTGAGATTATTTGAGGTGGATGTAAGTTGACCTAACTCTCGTAGATATATTGTAAAAATATATTGCAAATGGTGCACCATCAGGGAGATATATTCATATATGGCATTCTTCGTTGTAGTTTATCATGGGTATTGATCTCTGTGGAAGTCTCACCATCTTTGGGTAGTAGTCTTTTCAAATAGTATCCATATAAGAGAGGGAATGCATCCGCTATAACTTGAGATAGATCACGCAAGAGGAAGTTTGTAGAGTAAGTACCATTTGGTTCCGGCTTCCGTAGGTTCTTGTCCTTGACATGCAAGAGCTGAATGGTGGATAGGTGATGTAAAAGAATGGCCCTCTATTCTGCTTCAGCGTCTTTTAAGTTTCTTCTCAGCCTGAGATTCCAGAAAGCTATTTCTTTCACATTCACCCACATATYTTGTACAGAAGCATGTAATCTCAAACTACTTCTATAGGTTTGGTATCTAGTCACCCTTCTGTTAATGTAATAAGATTTTGTCAGAATTGATATTGTTCTTTATAGGGAAAACTGTTGCTTTTCACTCCTGAAATATAATGATTAGTTTTGGCCGTTAACCTTGCACTGTCTGAATATGGTGGTGGTTTAGTGTGAATCTAATCTCATCTCTTTTTAGGGCAAGTAAAATACTAACTGAAATGAGGAGCACATTTGGTTCAAATGACTGCCAATTACTTTGCATCAACTCATCTCATGATGGACTTATTGAACGGCAAGATGATCCTTGGGCCTTGTTTGTAAGTCACTTGAGGTTCTATATTTATCTATCTTAGTAAACCTTTTGACAAAATATAATTGATACTGTTGTTCTTCACAATGTCTTTGATGAAGAATTGGTAAAATCAGGGCTGTAATCTCACATTCTTATGTCACAGAAGTCTGATGCTTCGTCTGGTAAGCAACTTGGCTGCTTTCTTAGCAATGAGGATCTAATTGAGGTAAATTGCTGTTATCACTTTAAGTATTTGCTATGTGCTTTAAGGTCTAGAATGTGTGTATGCTTTTGTTGGGGGTGGGAGTGACTTACTGTGTTGCTTGTGAGACAGATCAGAGAGTTAATGCAAGATTTGACGTCAAAACATATCATTCCCTACATGGAGCAAAAAATACGAGCATTAAATCAACAGGTATTGCATTTTGGTTTCCAGAAGTTCTGTGCAAAGATCATATGCTTCTCTACACAATAAYATTCACTGGTTTTATATTTTCAACATAGTTTTATACTCACATTTTACTTTTCCATGATTAGGTGTCTGCTACAAGGAAAGGTTTCAGAAATCAGATAAAAAACTTATGGTGGAGAAAGGGGAAAGAAGACACAGTAGATTCTCCAAGTGGCCCAACGTAGATATCTCATTTATTTACATTTTTGGCCTKACTTTGCTCCTTGCTATTTCATAAACTTTTATATTTGTCATTGAAGGTATACCTATAATTCCATCGAGTCTCAGATTAGAGTATTGGGTGATTATGCCTTCATGTTGCGGGATTATGAACTTGCATTGTCCAATTACCGTCTGATTTCTACTGATTACAAACTTGATAAAGCCTGGAAACGTTATGCTGGTGTCCAGGTAGCTCCGAGTCTTTGCTGTTTCCATTTTTTTTAACCATATACCTTTAAGGCCATTTTCTTTAATTACTGACTGGAGTATTTTGTTATTGTGAGCAGCCTTATTTTGATGTTTTGGGTTGTAAAATTCTTGTTTATTTTTCTGGATTATTATTACATATACAACATTACAACATCAAAGKTAGGGGCTTAATTGTTGTGTAGTACTTTTTTTTGGGGACTAAAGGGGTTACAAAAACCACTCCCAATTAGCACATATAAGACCAAGAAAATAGTTACAAAAATAATTTTCCAGCTTGCACCAAGAGGCTGCTGTGTACAAAATAATGTCTAAGTAGGATAAATTTCTTTCTTTCTCGTTGAAGATTCTATGATTTCTCGCTAGACACAGGCTCCAAAGGAAGCTTCTGATCATGTTCAGCGAAAGAAGTTTTGCTTTCTTCTTGTATTAGTGAACCGCCAGTCTGGCATTCAGATTGATGATTGATAATTCATTTGTGCATGGGGTGGTCCAGCCAAAAGCTCAGATGAGGGCATCCCAAAAAACAGAGGGGAAGGGGCAGTCCACAAAAATGTGGTCTCAGAGATTTGTTGTTTGACTTGCAAAGAGGGCACATATTGGGGAGAGTGCAAAGGTCGGGAGCTTTATTTGCATGTAATTCATGGTATTAATTTGGCCCCCATTATCTCCTCCCATAAGAATATTTTTACTTTCCTAGGATATTTTCCTTTCCAAATCATTTGGATGAGATTTTTGTGGATAGGAAGGCATTTTGAGTCAAGAAGAGGTGAAGGGATTTAGCTGAAAAATGACCTGGTTCAAGAGGAATTCACGAGCCTGGGCAAGATTTGGGATTGATTCCCTCAAGCTTGTAGCCAAGAATGAGCCAATCTTCCAATCTTTCAAATTCCTTATAGGAGAGATTTCATGATCTTGTTAGGTTGTCCCWTAGGCTAGTAACCGATTTATTTGAATCCTTGGATAAGCCGTAGATAGTTGGGAACATGGATTGAAATCATGAAGATTCGAGCCAAGGGTCCTCCCAAAAGTGAATGTTAGAGCCATTACCTAGCTTCTACGTAATGATGGAGGATAGGAGAAGTTTGAGTTTGCAAATTTCTCTCTCGGACCCCCCAAAACTCGGCATTTTTGTCATTTGGCCACCAATAAAGGCAAGTATGCCCATATTTGTTTTGAATAAAAATTGTCCACAATGCTGCTTTCTCATGAACATATCTCCAAATCCATTTCCCTTAAAAGGGATTTATTTTTCTCCTGTAAACAGTCGAGGCCAAGAATTCCCATGGCAATAGGGCTAGAAATTTTGTTCCAAGCTGCATAGTGGGCCCCGCCCTTCCAATTGAGATTTTTTCCAAAGAATTTGCTATCCCAATTGGCATTTTAAACAAGGACATATAGTAGATGGGAAGGTTTGAGAGGGAGGAGGGAATGAGGGTTTGGCGGCCTCCTTTGGAGAAAAAAGAGCTTTCCACACTTGAAGAGTCTTTGGACTTCAAAAAGGATGGGTCCCATAGGATTGTTTATTTAGGGTTTCCAAGGAGGGGGAGGCCTAGATAGGTAGAATGGCTACTGCTTTACGACATAGTTAAAGGTGTTTGCAGCAGTTGAGGTGACAAGGTTAGAGGTATTTATGATAAGAAGCTTGGTTTTGCTTATAYTAATGTTGAGGCCAGAGAAAGCTTCAAAAGAGTTGTATCTTTTCAGAAACTAACGTGTCCCTAGCGTGTCGTGTCCTAYTTTTATCGAAAATTGACGTGTTGCGATACTCATGTCATGTCGTATTCGTGTCGCGTGGTGTAACCAAATTTGAGAGAAAACTTGATTGTATGAGATGATGAGAAAAGATACAAATGACTTCCTATTTATAGGAAAAGTCATGGACAGGGGAATAACAACCCAACCTTTAAGAATATAACTAACTAACAACTAACTTAAGGAAAGTTAACTAATTGTTAGCTACATCAACTTCCCTCCTCCTAAAAAAAACTCGTCCATGAGTTACGAAGCTAGAGAAAAAGAGTCCGGAGCTTCGAATGGATAGATGTCCGAAACGTTGAAGATAGGGTTGATGTTGAAATCGGGAGGTAGTTGTATTTTGTAGGCATTCGGTCCATACTTCTTCAATACTTCAAAAGGACCAAATATTTTTCTTCTGTAATTTGTAAGCAGATCCAGCTGGTAGTCTTCCTTTAGTTAGGTGTATCATGACTAGATCTCCTTCTTTGAACTCCTGCACCCTTCTTTTAGTATCCGCTTACTGTTTGTWCTTTAAATTGGACGCCTCAATGTGTTCTCGAACCTCCTTATGCAATTGATTAATCCTTTCAGCCACCTGCTCCGCTTCCACACTAACATCAATAGAAAGGGGTATGTTAGTTAGGTCCACGGTTAGTCTTACTCTTGGCAAATTAGTATAAATAACTTCAAAGGGGGACTTCCCTGTTGTTCCATTTTGCATGTGGTTAAAGGCAAATTCGGCTTGTGCAAGAGCTAAATCCCATTGTCTTGGCCTATCACCACAAAAACATCTAATAAGATTTCCAAGAGTCCTATTTGTTACTTCCGTCTGACCATCAGTTTGCGGGTGGTTCGTAGTGCTGTATTTTAAGGAGGTGTCGAATTTCTGCCAAAGTGTCTTCCAAAAATGGTCGAGAAACTTGACATCTCGATCTGAAACGATGGTCTTAGGAATGTCGTGTAGGCGAACGATTTCCCTAAAAAACAAATTAGCAACATACACAGCATCTGATGTTTTCTTACATGCCAAAAAATGAGCTATCTTACTGAATCTGTCTACTACTACCAATACGGAATCAAACCCGCGTTGTGTATGGGGTAGACCTTGGACAAAGTCCATAGATAGGTWTTCCCAAATAGTTTTTGGCGTAGGTAAAGGAATGTATAGTCCCGTGTTTTGTTTTGTTCCTTTACTTGTTTGACAAATAAAGCATTTAGATACGTAACTAAAGACATCCTTCCTTATTTGTGGCCGAAAAAAACGTGCTCCTACCAAAGTAAGGGTTTTATCTTGGCCAAAATGTCCAGCCAATCCTCCTGCGTGTAGATCTTTGATCAATGCTTCTCGAAGTATGAGGGATGCAAAGTTGATTTCCTTTAAAAAGAAACCCATTGAGGATGYGAAAGTCCTCRGTATTTTTGTGCTGCTGACATTGAGTCCATATAGTATCAAAATCAGGATCGTTTTGATAAGTTGTAGGTAAGGAAGAGAATGCAGTAATTTCTCCMTGTAGGACAGTGAGCAAAGAACTTTTCCTGCTAAGGGCATCAGCGGCCTTATTTAGAGTRCCATTCTTATGTTTGATCACAAAGTCGAATCTTTGTAAAAAAGAAAGCAACCGAGCATGCATTCGGCTCACTGATTTTTGTGTGTGCAGGAATTTGAGGGAGAAATGGTTTGTAAAGAGGATGATTTCTTGGCTTAGCAAGTAGTGCTCCCATTGTTTTAGAGCCCGAACAAGGGCATAAAGCTCTTGCTTGTAGGTGCTCCAATTCTGTCGGGATAGACTTAGTTTCTCGCTAAAATATTCAATGGGATGTTGGTTTTGAGATAGTACTGCCCCAATACCAACCCCAGAAGCATCGACTGCTACTTCAAAGGGTTGGGTGAAATCTGGAAGTTTAAGAACCAGGCTTTCAGTCAGTTTACTTTTTAAGGTCAGAAAGCTACTGGTCTGTGCCTTGCCTCATTGGAAATTTCCCTTTTTTTAGACTGTCAGTGAGGGGGCTAGCTATTGTGCTGAAGTTCCGGATGAATTTTCTATAGAAGGATGCAATCCCTAAGAAACACCGAATACCTTTGATAGATTGAGGCTTGGGCCAATCCGAAATGGCTTTTATTTTTGCAGGATCCATTTTCAACCCATCTATGCCGATGATAAATCCTAAAAATGATATTTCTGAAACTAGGAAGAGGCATTTTTTGAGATTTATGACCAGATTGTTAGTATGTAAGGCTGTAAACAAAGTTTCTAAGTGTGCACGGTGATCATTTCAAGTTTTACTATAAACTAATATGTCATCAAAATACACAACAATAAATTTATGTAAGAAAGGAAGAAGAACTTGGTGCATAAGTCTCATAAAGGTGCTTAGCGCATTTGATGGACCGAAAGGCATGACTAGCCACTCGAATAACCCTTCATTCGTTTTGAAAGCTATTTTCCATTCATCCCCCGACCAGATGCGTATTTGGCAGTATCCACTGCGAAGATCTATCTTAGAAAAAAACTTTGCACCTCCCAATTGGTCTAGGAGGTTGTTTATACGAGGAGGGGAATCTATACTTAATAGTGATCTTGTTTATAGCCCTGCTATCAACACACATTCGCCATGATCCATCTTTTTTCGGTGTAAGGAGGGCGGGCACCGCACACGGGCTAAGACTAGGTTGGATAAGGCCTTTTGTAAGGAGGTCCGCAATTTGATCGTGTAAGATTTTGTATTCGGCCGGGCTTATACGATAGTGAGGGAGATTAGGCAATGTAGCCCCGGGAATGAAGTCGATGTGGTGTTGGATATCTCAAAGCGGAGGTAAAGAATCTTGGGGTTGTAGAAGGGTTGGAAATTTGGCAAGCAGTTGGGCTATTTCCGGAGGGATCTGGGGTGAGGTTTGGTGATACGTGGTATTGAAATCATTGATAACCAGACCCAAAACAGGGGCAGAGTGGTGGAACAGCAACTGTTTGGCAGTGCAAACATGGAAGAGATTGCCTTTTTCTGCATTTTTAAGAGAACTAAGAGAACTATGGCTGGCTAGAGGTAATAGAACCACTGCCTTGCCCATCCAAGTAAACTCATATGTAATTTCCTGACCTTTGTGTACAGCTTGGGTATCAAATTGCCATGGATGGCCTAAAAGGATGTGGCAAACATCCATATCTAGGACGTCACATGTAATTTGATCCTTATAGCTACTACCAATGGATAAAGGGATGGTGCAAAGAGTATTGACAAGGTC